ATCCCAGGGATACGACGTAGAATTCCAAACAAAAATCTGGGGAATTTCTGTGGAATTCCGGTAAAATTATGAAATTCTGATGAAATTCCATTATTTTCCTGGAGTTCCAAGTAATTTTGAATTATTCTCGTGAAATTCAAAAAAATCTATGATAATATTTAAAATTCCTGTGGATTTCCGAGGAATTCCTGTGAAATTTCTTGCAATTGCCGAAAATTTCCTTGAAATTACATGGATTTTTAGTAGAATTACAGAGAATTTTTATGGAATTACGAGGAATTCTGGTGTACAATTTTTTTTTTTAATTTACTAAAAAAAAAGAAATTTTTCAGTACGTTTCAGAGACGTTGACACCATCGTAACGATTGCGCTGAATTTTGCCTTCCTACTTCAAAATTCAAGCAAATTTTCATTAATCAATTATTAATAATTATTGAAATTTGAAATAACTAATAAGTAATAAGCTACTAACAACTTACTCAAATATCAAAAATCTTCTGAAATTATTTGGGGATTCCAGTGGAATTACGTGGAATCCCGATGAAATTACATGAAAACCGATAGAAATTATGTAGAATTCCATAAAAATTATGCGAAATTCTATAAAAATTACGCGAAATTCCGTAGAAACTATGAGGAATTCAATTGCAATTGCTGAATACCATGGAAATGATGCCCAATTATATGCAAAGTATGCAGAATTTCATTGAAAATATGCCAAATCCCATTAAAATTATGCGGAATTCTAGTGAACTTAAATGGAAAACGACATAGAATTTCAAAAAAAGCGTTGAGTTTAAAAAAAATCAAAATCTCATAATGTGGATTTAAGTTGAATGGAATTCCATAAAAGGTACCTATGCGTAATTTCATAGAAACTATGCAAAATTCCAAAGAATTTCTAGGGAATTCTATAGAATAATGCGATATTCTATAAAAACTATGCAAACTTGCACTGAAATTATGCGGAATTACGTGAAAATTATGCAGAATTTCATAAAAACTGTGTGCAATCAAATAAAATTTCAGTAAAATTTAATGAAATCCCAGGGATACGACGTAGAATTCCAAACAAAAATATGGGGAATTTCTGTGGAATTCCGGTAAAATTATGAAATTCTGATGAAATTCCATTATTTTCCTGGAGTTCCAAGTAATTTCTCCAAAATTTTGAATTATTCTCGTGAAATTCAAAAAAATCTATGATAATATTTAAAATTCCTGTGAATTTCCGAGGAATTCCTGTGAAATTTCTTGCAATTGCAGAAAATTTCCTTGAAATTACATGGATTTTTAGTAGAATTACAGAGAATTTTTATGGAATTACGAGGAATTCTGGTGTACAATTTTTTTTTTTTTTTTTATTTACTAAAAAAAAAGACATTTTTCAGTACGTTTCAGAGACCTTGACACCATCGTAACGGTTGCGCTGAATTTTACCTTATACTTCAAAATTCAGGCAAATTTTCATTAATCAATTATTAATAATTATTGAAATTTGAAATAACTAATAAGTAATAAGCTACTAACAACTTACTCAAATATCAAAAATCTTGTGAAATTATTTGGGGATTCCAGTGGAATTACGTGGAATCCCGATGAAATTCCATTAATTTTCCTGGAATTCTAGAAAACTCCTGTAAAAATTACATGAAATTCTCATGAAATTTTAAATAATTCTAGTGAAATTATTTGGGAGTTCAGTGAAATTCCATCTATTTCCCGGAAATTCCACGTAATTCTCCCGGAATTCCAAGTTATTCTCGTAAAATTCCCATAAAAATTACATTAAATTTTCATGCAACTTTAAAAAATTCTTGTGAAATTATTAGCTATAGTGGAATTACGTGGGATTCCGGTAAAATTATGTGATACTGTGAAAGACTTACGACGAAATTCTCGGAGTATTCGACTCAATGCGTCCGTAATTTTAAGTTATTCTCGTGAAATTCCAGAAAATTCCCATAAAATTTCAAAATATTTACGTAGAATTTTCGCTAAATTTCAAAAAAAAAATCCTGTAGAATTACATGGAATCCTTGTGAAATTCGAAAAAAAAAAAATTCCTTAAAGTTACTGGTAATTTCAGCGAAATTTTGAAGAATTTTTATGGTATCACTTGGAATTCTCCGAAATTAAAAGAAAAAAATCGCAAAAATTTTCGTAAATTACTAAAAATTCTAGTGAAATTACCTAAGTTTTTCATTGAATGAATTCCCATGAATTCTCGTGAAATTACATGGAATTCCCGTGGAATAACTCAACATTTAAGTGAAATTCTGAAATAATACGAAATTACGTAAAAGTTTTTGTGAAATTACTTAATACTTTAGCAATATTCCTGTAGAGTAAATCGGAATTTTAGTGGAATTGAAAAATGTGAAATTCCAGAAAATTTCTTTAAAGTTGCTTGGAATTTCCGTGGAATTGAAAAAAAAAAACCCTTCCTACAGAATAAGTAGAAACTCCATAAAATTTCAATGAAATAATCAGTCGTATGAATAAAGTGTAGCAAATGTTTTTACTCTACCTCCGTCTCTTTTTGCTGCATCAAAACCGAGTATGTTTATCTCAAAAAAATTAAGTAAAAGCATTTGCTTCTGTTTTATTCATATGAGCCATTTGTACTTGAAATTTCATTGAAATTCCGAAGAAATCCTGTAAAATTGCTCGAAATTCCAAAAAATTTCTCTGAAATTTCTAAGGTTATTTTACTGAAATAAAATTACTTGAACTTCTCCTGAAATTATTTGGAATTCTAGCAAAATTTAGAGAAATTCCTTAAAATAAATCAAAATTCTCGTGAAATTCCAAAAAATTCACAAGAAACTACTTGAAAAATCGGATAAATATGAAATTTCCAAAAAAAAATCGTGAAATTATTTTTTACATTTCAGCAAAATTCCAAGGAATTTTTATGAAATAATTCTGGATTTCAGTGGAATTCCAGAAAAATTTACGTGAAATGACCTTAAAATACTCATGAACTATCAAAAAGTAATTTGTGGAATTATGTTCATGGAATTCCAAAAAATTCCTGTGAAAATACAGAAAATTTCTTTGAATCTAATTGAATTTTTAGTGGAATTTCGAAGAATTTTTAGGAAATTCTGGTGTTCAATTTATAAACATTCTATGAACATTCCTAGAACATTCTATAATAAGAATTCCAGTGGAATTCTGAAAAATTCTTGTAAAACTACACGAAATTCTCATGAAATATCAGAAAATTCCTATGAACATTTCTGAAACATTCTACGTACATACACTCCGGGAAAATTCTATAAACATTCCTCGAATATTCTTCAAAAATTCAAGAAAAACATGTTGGAACATTCCTGAAACATTCTTGGAACATTTTATAAATATTTCTAAAATAGACGAATTATTTCAAAAATATATTGAAATATTTTTGTCTTAATGGGACATTCTACGAAAATTCCTTAAACATTCCTAGAAGGGTACCTTTGAATTCTAATTTCAAAATATTCTAAGCTCAATTGCGAGCCAAAAATGGGATTTTTTTTTTCTTTTTGTTCCTACTTAAAATGGCCATTTGGAATTGGTTTCATAGTCCAGGAGGCAGTGAAATTTTTTAGCACTTATTTTCCCAGTTAGTGTCTATTAAATAGTTTGTTCTCCTAGTGATACAAAGCAAGAATTTTTGAGTCTGGCTAAAATTTTCGGATGAGTTCACAAGATCAATGAAAAATACAAGTACCTACGCTTATTTTCCCAGACATAAATATTTTACATTCACTACAATAGAACATAAAGTATATGAAAATAGCTGAAAATTTTCTGATCTTCAATTTTTCACTTGCCAGACATATTATCCATACTCACACATTAGCCGGATTTTTTTTTTACGTAACTTCAGTATACTTCTCATTAGTAGACCTATTTTTATCACTGAGAAAAAAAAGGTCCGTGCATTGGTAAGCTTTAACGCATTTTGCGCCTAAACCCATCGGAAAACCCCCCCTAAAAATATATGTATTTTGCTTAGAATTACTAACCCTACAATTCTATTCATGTTTTCTGACTGGGAAAATGAGTACCGTAAATCGTCACTGCCTCCTAGACTATCAGGGTTGTTTCCACTAACTTCAACCCGTTCTAAAGTTAAAACTGAGTAAAACTGAATCGATTTTTTCTTCAGAATTCTGATTTCAAAATATTCAAACCTCAATTGCTCGGTAACCGTTGAGCAAATTAATTATTTACATACCTTGAAATTTTCAGCATTTGTAGCTTTTATTAAGCTCTAAATGGCCTGTAATTTGAGCTATCAAACTCAATTTTGCACGGATTTATAGAGAATTTAATGTTCTTTCAAATGCTATATAATTTATTTTAATTTGCTTGAAATTAAACAAAGATATGGGTTTGAAGAGTTTATTTATTTGGGAGGTTTATTTTCAATAAAACTCGATGGGTATGATTTATTTTGAAATGAAAACTTCTTAGGCGACGATTTGGTAAATTGGACAAGAATGGATAGTGATTTGAAAGACGCGTCACATTTTGGGAAATTTCGTTACACGATAGGAAGAAAGATATAATGTAGAGAGATGGAGAAAATCAGCTTTTGATAATGACAACCGACGAACGATTGACACAAACCAAACCAAGGATTATAAGCAAGGAGGATTGCATACTATTGTCAAGCGCCGATATCCTTGTGACGTCACTACAGAAGCGTGAATTTCTTTTGTGTTTTTTTTCCGTCTTTACCCCGACTCGTGCGCTAAGACTGAAAGTTGTATGAGGGGGAATACTTTCTAAGAAGTTTCACTTCTACCACGTGTAGGGCGCTGCACATGATTTTTTTTGCATCAAAATCGGTGGCAGCAACCCTTTTCAATCGGCCGCCTGTGTGCTTTGAACACACCGCACACATGGTAGCGGCGGTCCTGATTAAGATCATTCTATAGATATCTCTAATAATCTCTAGTTCAATTTTAGTTTTTCACGCAATATTTCAAATTCTTCTTTCAGGTTAGCCACAAGACTAGTGCCCAAATGAACTTGCCGGGTCTGCCGAATGCGGGCGGCAGTGGAGGTGGAAGCGGTGGTTTAGGCGGAAGTGCTGGAGCTCAAGGTGGTTTTGGATTCGGTTTCAATGCGGGAGGGGGAGCGAATGCTGGAGCAGGAGGCCAGGCAGGTGCTGGCGGAGGAGCTGGAAATAGTGGATAACACAAATAAAAAAAGACGCGTGTTTTACAATACAATGTTGCAAATAACAGCTTTTATTGTTATGTAGTTAATTAAATAAATACCGAATTAATAAATTTGTGTATTGGTATTAATTTTTCAGTTTTTGCATAGATTGTCTGTTATAAAAAACCTGGATGTTTTGAGAAGATAATGGTTATTTTGGAACAATTATTTGGTATGTACGTGCAGCGTTCAAGGTATCGAATTAATAGATACCTACTTACTTGAGTTTGTGTGAAGATGAGACTATTTTTTGAAACTATACAAACTATTTTACATCGCTACTATCTTCAACAACTGTAACCTCTTCAATATCACTAGGTGAAGCTTCGGTTGCTTCACCTACGGCGTCTGCAGGTGCTTCATCTTCATTTCCTGGGGCTGGTGTAGTCTCAGTAGTTTCTGTAGCTGCGGCTGGAGGTGTTGTAGTTGGTGCAACTACAATATTAATATATTTGTATGCTAACCCAAACAAGTGTGCTTATTACTTTACCTGTTGTAGTAGTTCTTCTTGGTAGGTAGCTAGGATAACGAGGGTACCATATCCAGATGCAATCTGGCCTATTATCTATTTGATATCTGGTAGCTAATAAACCAGAGTCCTAAAAAGAGGATTGAATATACTTTTTTCAAATAGCAGAGAAATTTCGATTGAAAAAGTACCGGCAATATTGTATGTTGTTCATATTTATTTAGAGATAACGTTAACGGCAAATGAAGAAAGAGAAGAGCTCTGTATTTGTTTCTTCAATAAGTTAAAAAATTTCTATACGATAAATGCTCAATAATTTTTCAACAACTTTCTCAAGCTTGTTGCTTATAGGTAACAGACTTCCGCTTACGGCGTCAGTCTGTTCACAAGCAACAAGCTTTGCTTGAAATACTTACAACATTCGCAATCACTACTAAAAGCGACACAAATACAAATAAAGACGATACTTTTTTCATCTTCACATAGTAGGAAGCACCACTCTTCATAAAATATAAGAAACAAATCGAGTAGCTATCAAATGAATATCTATGCATGTGCCGTCATTAACGATGTATTTGATGACAGACCATTTTAAATCATTAAAGCCAATTAGATTTATTATCAGCTAACGAGCTCTTGTATCGCAAAAGCGGGCATTTTGCGTATTCAAATGAGCTGCACTAATGAGTCCTTGCATCATTGAGAGACAATGGCCTGTGACGGAATTAGCCAACCCATAATGTATCGTGATAGAATCAGCATCATCATTCTCTATGATTAAAGTCAATTTCGGAATTATTATTAAAATAATATATTTTGGTATACCTACCTGAATCCCTGAATCGTCTTCTTGAAAACGCAACAAAGACCTAGTCGCTATTGAAATAGGTACCGGAAAAGCCCCATATAATGCTCCTTCACACAAAATGTTTCATGTTCATTCAGCCTGATTTGTAGTAGGTAAGTGAAAGGAAGAATAGGAATGCTTTTATGGGTGAAAATAAAATCTATTATTTTTTAGTTTTTATTAATTTCTTCAAAAATTTCTATTAAACAACCAAATATACTTTGAATTCGAACTCAGATGCCACGCCGAGGTCTATTATAATCCAGAGAAGAAAAAGGAAGTTAGAATTCCACAAGCCTAAGACCATTGTTTATAATAATACGGGTGAATGTTCATCAGTTAACTAGAATCTATATAGAAAACAGAATCGGTTCGAAGTTTACGTCTTTTAAGAAACCTTGAAATCCAGAAATCACCAAGCACTAAGCAGTCACCTATATTCTGGAGAAAACCTGAGCATAACAAAACTTTGTTTAAAACACGCAGATATTATCAAATTAGAAAGCCATGCATGTTTAACCTATCATATACTGATACATTCTTGCACAGATTAACCCGTCCTAAAGATAGGAAACTTCCATGTTAAATGTTCGTTCAGAGCTGTCAAAAAATAACACATATGAAAGTTTCATGACTGCCAAAGCTATGCTGTGAATATAATCTGTCATTGTATTTGCTATTAGTCAGCCGTTTGATGTGTGTTAGTGTTCTTTATTTAATTTTGTATCAATTTTTGGTGAAACCTTGACTTCTTGATATGTTTTTAACAAAAGAGACTTTATGTTACATGTAAACATTGCGAAAATGGTTTTAGTGATAGTATTTATTTGCCATTTTTAACATTCACTTAAAATTTCATTTGTGCACTAAGACCCTTCAACTTTTTAGTATTATTTTTTCAATACGGTTTTCTGTTGTTGTGTTAAAGGGTGTTAAAGAAGGAAATAGTACTGAAATTGTTATATACGTATAGGCAACCAATTAAGCAACCGCCTATCAGCGCCGTCTACTTCCGGAAAGGAACAAAGTATGAAGCTCCATGACACAGCGACTGGAAGAACCAGTCCACTAGAGAACAGCCCAAAGACCAGGGCCGGCCCTACCATAAGGCGAACTGAGCGAGCGCTCCAGGCGCCAGACCTCGAGGGGCGCCTTCGACTCGTTCCTTGGTAATAAAAAAAAAGGGAAAAGTATATTTTCGCTTTGAATTCTGTCTCTGCTTTTCGATATTTTACTTCTCTGCTTGTGAGCAAGCTTGTGCTTACTTAGTATGAGAATAACCTGTCCTGACGTTTTTTTGAGACGCGCACGGATCGTAGGTGTGGTGGCGCCCTTACCCGATCATTTGATCACGATATTTCGGATAGTGATAACAGTCACCCGAAAGCAGTCCTTCAGGCGTTAGCATTTAATAATTGGCAAGATACGTTTCCTTATATCTGGACAGCTCTCCGTATTTTTGTTACCATTCCTGTTACAGTGCCGAAAGGTGAACGGAGCTTTAGTAAGCTCAAGTTAATTAAAACTTACCTTAGCGGTCAATTCTAGCAGAAGAGAAACCTTCAGATCTAGCCCTGCTGTCCATTGAAAATGTTATAGCTCAGATATTGTCATATGAGGAGATCATAAATAAAGGACCCCGCACACATCTTATGGGATTTTGGTGCCCGGTCAAATTTGATGAAATTTTGGTATGTTGTTCTTCTTGAGGTCCTGATCAAATGTGTCCATGGGCACAAATGAATCCTATGATTAGTTTCTGAGATACAGGGTGTTTAAAAAGTTGAATAGTCGATTTAAATTATGTGCTAACCAAACTATTTTTTGGGGTTTTGTAATAATGATTAAGGCGAAACAATACTTTTACATAAATAAATGCTTCCAAACATAATACATTTAAACGATTTTGTATACAGGGTGTATCACACGTTTTTATTTCAATTTTTTTGACCCAATCAATTTCGGAATAGGTACTTTTAAAATGATTTGATGTAATAAATAGTTTTGAAATATTTTTCTATTTCTATTTATACAAAATTACGAATATTTGAAAGATAGTTGCAGTTTTCAGCTATATTTAACTTTGCCAAATTCAGGGTACTGCATATGAAAAACTTTATTATTTGGCATTTTTCACAAAATGTTCTTGATGAAATGTTCTGCTTTATAAAAAGACTTCTGCTTTATTCCAGTTAGCCATGCTGTCAAATATTTCATTCGATTATTTGGTTGCTAGGTGATGATGGCAACAGTCAGAATATTGACGGTTACTGATATTTTGTGCATTCGATTAATTATTTCTTCTTTGTTGAATTATTTATTTTTATTTACATATTCTTATTTATTAATTCCAACGAATATACCATTTACATATACTAATATATAATTATAATAAAATAAGTGCTCTTAACGGTATTTGACATGGCATTTCGTCTCAGATTCAATTGTTATGTTTGTGAATCTGTCAATGCTCCTCGACAAGTAATTCCTTTTGTCCAAAATGAGGAGCTTAGAAACACGGCGGTTAAACGGAGGCAAGAACTGCAACTTCTGGACGAGGACCCAAGTGATAACTCTCGAATAATATGTTTCACGTGCTATCAAAGTATTTTAGAAGAGCTTCAAGTTTATGCTGAAGATCCCGATCCAACTGTTTTCAAGGTAGTTTTTAACCGCCGTCGTAACTGTATTGTTTGTAATCAAGAGGCTTTCCAGCGTATTTCTTTAAAAGCCAGAGTTGACGTATTTGTAAGAAAAGGCATTTTTATTCCTGATGGTTCCAGAATATGTCCCGGTCATTTGACTATTCATCAACTGGTGGTAGCTCCCTTGCAAAATGGCTTCAGGGGTATCACGAGGCCTTATACACTTAAAGGTTCCGAATTAAATGCTTTCATTTCTCAACTTCGGAACAACGTAAATGATTTTAACAAGTTTGATGATGAAAGTAATTATACAGATGATGAGATGAAATCTTTGACCTCATTAACAAAAGAACAGTTCAACGCTGTTTTTGATAGTTGTAATAATGTGGTCATATATAACAGGTCAAGAGTAATAACGAAAAAAGATCTCATATGTTTTTTATGTAAACTTAAACAAGGTTTATCAGATAATTTTTTAACTGCTATGTTTTCCTATCCAAGTTGACAAACAACGAGTCTCGTCATTGCAAAAGTTACAAGTTCTCTAGCAACCTTTGTGAATCAAAACTTAGGATATGATCATATGTCACACGAATGATTCATTAGAGAGCATGTGACCCCTTTCGCTAATCAATTATATAATCCAGAGCCTCAGCTACCAAAAGCTATTGCTTTTATTGACGGAACGTACTTGAAAATTCAAAAGAGTAGAAACTTTCAGGTTCTTAGGAAATCATTTTCGGTACATAAATCATATCATCTCTTGAAGCCGGCTTTAATTGTTTTCCCAGATGGTTACATAATAGATGTGCATGGGCCATATTTTTCAAATTCTCGTAACAACGATGCAAGAATGTTAACCCACGAATATCAAAATGATCTTGGACAACTTCGAAATTATTTTCAAGAAGGAGACATATTTGTACTTGATCGTGGTTACAGAGATGCTCAGGAATTCTTACAAGACATTGGAATTCGAGTTGAAATGCCCGCTCATCTTGACCGAAGATCTCAGCTAACAACAGCTGAAGCAAATCAGACTCGGCTTATAACAAAATGTAGGTGGATAGTCGAATCCCGAAATGGACATCTGAAATCAATATTCAAAATATTCAGAGACCAAATTCCTAATTCTAGTATTCCACACATTCGCGATTACATCAGGATAGCATGTGCTTTAATAAACAAATATCATCCCTCAATTGTTATAGAAGAAGCGACAGAGAATTTGACCCGTGAAATGTTATTGAAGTCACAACAGCGCAACATATTGCAGGAAAGACTGGAAAGAGAAGGATTACTTCGGAGGCATGGAGTATGGGAACCTCTTACTGAAGATCAGCTCGATTTTCCAATATTACCCATAGAAGAACTTCAACATCTAATTTTCGGTGTTTTTCAATTGCGTTTAGCCCCATCATACATTCAAGACAATAACGAAAATGATGGGAATCATTGTTTTGAATACGATACGAGATTAAACGATGCTAATTTGTTACGAATAAGAATGAAATCTCGGCACAGGAATTCTGTTAAGTATCAGCTTTTCATCAATTACGACACAGAAAGGAATTTAATATTGGGATATTATTGTTCATGTCGATCTGGTGCCAGAGTAGTTGGAATGTGCTGTCACGTTGCTACTGTAGTATGGTTTCTAAGCTATGGTCGCCATCAACCGATTATTAATTTTCCAAGCGGAGATATGTTTAGGAATGTTAGGGATGCTGCAGCAGCAGATGTAAATGATTTGCCAGACATTGTCCACTAACAGTGATTGGACAACCCCAACTTACCCACTACTTCATTTCTTCAATAATGTATGACTAAGTTGTTTCTAGGCTTCACACCGTTGCCGTTACCACAGACTTCTGTTGATCTGGCGGTCTACTCTACGGCCGAAAGCTACCGGACTTTAATATTACTTGACTTAAGTGACATTTTGTGTGATAACTTATTATATTACATTGATATTTGATTTTTCGCATTTAAATATTTAGTGGTCGGCCTCATTGGCCTTATGACTGTATCAAGTAGTTTAGTTAAATGCTTTCTGACCTGAAGAAT